CGGGGGGCGCGGGGCGGAGCGTCTTCCGGGGCGGAACCCAACCACGTGGCTCCTGCACCGGTCCTGCCCGGCAGGTGGGGGCAGTCGGTGGCCGCGGCTGGCGCGATGGGGAGAAAGATAAACAGAGTATGCCCGTCGGTACCCTTTTTATTGGACGGTGCCGGCGCCGAGCCCTTTTGGGTTTTTTGCCTTGTTTTGGTTCTGCCGCGCGATCTTGGCAGGTGGCGGGCACGACCTGCGTCCTCCCGGCGTTCTCCCGGCCCCGTGAGGTTTCGCGCGGAGGGGCCGGCTCTTCGGGACTTCTCGCTCCCCGCGGTGATGTTGGAGCGGGGAAGGAGCTGCTTCCGTTGTCATTCCGTCAGGATGCCCAGAAAAGCGTCCAACTGCTTTAAGTTGCAACCAAAAAAAGACAAAATCCCAACTTTTCAAGTTGCAACCAAAAAAAAAAAAAAAATGCTTAAGTTTCAACCTCAAAAAAAGAACCCCAACTTTTAAAGTTTCAACCACAAAGAAAGCCCAACTTTTTACGTTTCAACCAAAAAAAGGCCCAACTTTTTAAGTTTCAACCCCCCCAAAAGCCCAACTTTTTACATTTCAGCCAAAAAAAGCCCAACTTTTTAAGTTTCAACCCCCCAAAAGCCCAGTTTTTAAGGTTCAACCAAAAAAAAAAGCCCAATTTTTTAAAATTTCAACCAAAGGGGGAAAAAAAAGCCAGTATAGTTGTCGGTGTCACATATGTAAAATGTGCTTACCAGGAATGTCCAGGAGACAATCACGAAACAAGTCTTACAACTTCAGCCTACTTCTAAGGAAAGAAGAAAAAAAGGAGTGAGCCTCCATCCACTCGGTAGCCTTGTTCAGTGTGTTTTAATGTCCTCGTTTTTCAAATTTAGGGAGGTTAAAGAAGGCCCTGAACTCTAGCCAGGTCAGTATGTGAACTCCGAGATTCCTAAAACAAGACTCCATGTTGCTTCCAACTGTGCCAACTCCAGACAACTAGAATGAAAGAGAATTAGCTAGGCGCCCGTGGCTCAGGCCTGGAATCCCAGCATTCTGGGAGGCTGATGCTGGGAGTCCTGCTTGAGCCCAGGAGTTCGAAACCAGCCTGGGCGACAGAGCAAAACCACTTCTCTACCAAAAAAATCAAAAGATTTAGCAGGGTTTGGTGGCACGCATCTGTAGTCCAGCTACACAGGAGGCTGAGGCTGAAAGATCGCCTGAGCGAGGTTGCAGTGAGCCTTGAGCATGCCGTTGCACTGCAGCCTGGGTAACAGAGTGAAACCCTGCAAAAAAAAAGAAAGAAAAGAGATCAACTCTCAATTTCCTCACTTATAGAGTAGGACCCTAAAGGCCAGAGTTGTGATTTATCTAGAGTAACACTGAGTTGGTGAAACTACAGCCGTTTTTGCTTCCATTATGTTGCTAGATATGCCTTGCCGTGATGATAATACATTAGATATTTATGTTGTGATTTGAATTTACTTTGGTATAAGGATAAGGGATTTGTTTCCTATTAAACAGGCACGTTAACTGTACTGAGACTATTGCTCGAGGTTTATCTTTCCCTTGCTGCATGTGCAAGGACCTTGCCTCCCATAACTGAAAAGTCAAGTTGTAATATGGGCTTTCAGGAACGATGAGGTCAAGGCTCTGCGTGTTGGATATAGTTTTCCTGGCTTTACCTGCATCTTCCTGCATGATGCCTCAATGCTGCTGTATTCCCGAACCTGCATCTCATACAGTATTTTGCAAAGAAAGATAGTCGTTCTTATTTCCTACAATCACATTTTTTAAAAATCCTAGTTTACTTGAAACATATCTTTGTGGCAAGTGACATGCCATAGGCTAATTAACTTAGATTTGAATTTCTGTCCTTTTTACCCGGTCCTGCGGCAAGGCGGTTGTGCTCATCCTAAATGGTTTAGCCCTCTTAGGGCTTACCCTGAACCACATAGTTTACTGCTTAGAGGGTGCAGGGGCAGAGGGTATGACATGAATGAGGAGTCCATGTTGCCTTTGTACCTGTTGCTTTAAAAATGTTACTGGTTATTTGCAATCTTCAGATGTTTTTGAATCAGTATCAGAGTACTAGTTCGTTTGATTTTTGTTATGCTCCAATGTAAGTACCCCATTGTTTGAATTATTACATTTTTATAAAACGTTTGTAAGGCAAATTTCCCCCTCAGTACCCTTCTACTGAAAAGATTTTCTGTCTGCAAGGAATAGAGAGACATGTCAAATGACAACATGGGATAACAGTCAGGAAATTTCAGAGGGTGGGAAATTCTGTAGAACAAATAAAACTGTTTATACATTAATTTCAGGAGAATTGCAGATTTTGCAACACTATGTCCCAGTCCTATTATTCTGATTTTTTTTTTTTTTGCAAAGTGTTATAGTTTTTCTTTATGTTTGCTTTGTTTAAGTTTATTCTTATGAAAACAATTTTTATGGCTTTTGAGATGGTCACCGTCACTTGATTTATGCTTCCTTCATATGATTCAAGTAGTTATTCTAGTCTTGACCCATTTTGTCTTAATACTCTGCCTTTTGTGCTTAGAAATAAAACAGTAGCTTCATCAGGATAGTGGATTAGGCATAGTATGTTTCAGCGTTTGTTTGTTTTGTACCTGTTGTGGCAGGATTTCTCAACATTGGCACTATTAACATTTTGGACTGGATAATTCTTTGTTGTCAGGCTATCCTGTGCATTGTAGGACTTTTAGCAGCATTCCTGACTCCATTTACCTGCAACCTGGCAGGCATGTTTCTCAGGATCGGTCTCAGTTCCAGGTAAACTGGGACACTTGGTCATGTTGTCTATCCTCTAAGCAGTGTACTCCCCTTCCTGCATTGTGACAGTCAAAAACGTCTACAGATTCAGCATGATGAAAGGAAGAAGAATGCACCCCAAAGGACCTTAGGAGTGTTTCAGAAACAGGGCATAAGGGAGGAGCCTCTCAGAGGTCTTAGGCTTCTGCTGAGTGGTTGTAAGGAAGGATCCGTGAAGCAGGGAGGGGCAGTTTGGTGATGGGCTGTCTTATTCCTGGTTTTTTTGTTTGCTTTTGTTTGTGTTTTTTTCCATTGGAAACCCAGAGGATTAAAGTTGGACTAAAGTTGCTGTCGGTAAAGGGGCAGCGATCAGACAGAGAAATAATGCTGATCAATTTTGTGGTTGCAGTTCTGTTGACTTCTGTTAGAAACTTTGGCTCTTAAAACCCTTAGTTTAGGTTTCTTGTGAGTCCACTTGGAAACATTGTTTATGTTCTGCTTAGACTTTTTCGGTCTGATTGCCAGGAGGCAGTTTTCATTTCCCCATTCCCTATAATATTATGTCAAATGTCAAGATGTATCAAATAGGTGACTATATTGATAAGCAAAATAACGATCTTATAGGTTGCTTTCAGGTAGCACAAACTGCCCTTCACAAATTGCTGGGCTGAATCAAGGAAGTATTTTACTGGTTCTAAGATTTTTCTTTCTTTTCCAGAGAGAAAAACCATGGGCGTGTAAAGGCAATTCAGTAGAGAAAGGGTAGTGTTTTCAGCAGTGTTGTAACCACACGCAAAAAATGAACCTCCACGCACACCTTGCACCTTACGCAATGTCTGTTCAAAAGGATCGATGTCGAGCACGTTGCATCTGTCAGTCACCAAAAAAAACAACGCAGCCGTGTCTAGGTGGAACCTACACACTTGACTCCTGTAGAGAAGGGACCGAGTGAGATCAACTTCAGCCGCAGCCGTCAGTCCTCCATGGCCAGCGAAAGCGTCCTCCCCACAGCTGACACGGGGCATTTGGCCCACCTCTTTTGCTGCCCCTCCTTACTGGGAACAGATGTGGCAGTGAGGCTGGCCGGATGTGGGGGACCTAGACGCTTAAGCAGAACAAAGAAGTGTACACTGAGTCCGAAATGGGCAAAGATATTCTCACACAAGAAAACAAGCCTAGCAGAAGCTGTGAGGACACTTTATTTCTTGGTGGAGACGTGCTCCAGGCCCAAGGCCCATTCGTAGTCAGCCGAGAGGGTCAAAACACCATGCATGAGATTGCCTTTTCCAACAGTAAAACATCCTGAAGACAGAAAAACCTCCAAAAGCAGGAAAGAGAGGAGATCTATGTGACCTTGGGCTTCAAGACGAGGTTTTAGTTACACACATTGAGTACCCCTTATCCAAAATGCTTGGGACTAGAAGTGTTTTCGATTTTGGAATTTTTTTCAGATTTTGGAATATTTGCAATTTATATGAGGGGGGACACAAGAAACCCTGAAATGCATTTATAAAAAGTTTTGTATTTGTTCTTTTGTGTTTAAGGTACAGTCACCTTCAAAGTACTCTCCATTTGATGCAGTACACCTATTGGGAAGCTTTTTCCACTGCTCAAAACAGCTTTTAAAGTTGTCAATTTTGTTGCTGTTTAAGTGCTTCTGCCATTTTTTGTTTCGCCTCTTCAACATCAGCAAAACATTTTCCTTTGCGGACGTTTTACATCCGGAAAAAAAAGTCACTCGAGATGAGATCAAGTGAATAGGGAGGGCAGAGCTCAGGGGTCGTGCCGTTTTAGTTCAGAAACTGCTGAACACTCAGCACCGTGTGGGCGGGTGTGCTCGTAAGTCGCCCATCATGAAATGGGCAGAGGCATTGAGACGCTCAAAAAAAAAATGCGCTGAAGCTGAACGCAGCCTTTCACAGCGATGCTAGCTGATATACTGATGCCGATGGGTTCCTAGAACATTTTCCTAGCAAAAAATAATTTCTGGGGGTTTTTTTGAGGTCCTCCTCGTACTTACCAGTTGAGTATCCCAAGTCTGGAAATTCAGAATTCAGAATGCTCTGATGAGCATTTCCTTTGAGCGACACGTTGTTGCTCAAAAAGTCTTGGAGTTTGGGTTTTCAGATTTGGGATGCTCAGCCTGTATTACCAAAAGCACAATATATGAAACAAGCAAACACAAAGATAAATTGTATTTTATCAAAGCCCATAGAGCCATAAAACACAAAAAGTGAATGTTACTATATCACGGTCTGGGAAAAAAGGCATCCAAGAAGCTCTCAGAGGATCAATCTCAGGATGGAATTTACAAATGACTGACGTAACTGCACTGAAGATAGTGGGGAGGAGGGAAAGGAAGTGTCTAACTGGAAAATGGAGCTTTGACTGGAAACTAAGGGTGAAGAATAAAGACATGCAAACCCCATATTCTAGTTGGTGCATTCGTTTTCCAAGGGGTAACTAGTTAACAGTTCTGAAACTGCTTTACATTTATACTGGGAATGAACAAGTGGATGATGGATGGTGGGAGGCGGGTATCTCACTGTGGGGGCGGGGGGCATTACAGACAAGGAGGGGAGATGGGAATGAACGCTATAATTCTGAATTTGAGTTTTGTAAATGTCAGTGTGAACGCATGTTTAGCTTTGTTTTTGTCCAGATGGAAAGATACAGGATCAATTGTAGCTATGCAAGGATATGTGAGTTACATATGCCTGTGTGTTACCTAGTCCACTGAGAGGTCCTGAAAGGAATGATACCCCAGTAGCAGTGAGCAGTCTCGGCATTCAGATCTTGACTCTAAATACACATCTCAAAGAAAAGGTGGTATGCTTCTTGGAGAAATGGCTGATTCTAAGACTGGGACGGGGGAACTACATAAACCTATAGCATCTTGTACCAGAAAGTGTGGATGTGCTCAAAAAATAAAGGGCGGAGGTATGTCAGAGGGATAGGCGCTAACCTGAAAGAAAGCCAAAACTGGAACAATTTGAACAACAGAATAAGTACTGAGTGCGCGTTGCACTTGGTGACTTGCATCCAATTAATAAAGCATGGAAATGGGGAAGTCAAAACTTTGCAGTGGAGGAACCTGGCAGACACTACCTTCGCCAGATAACCAAGGTTAACATTGTGAGCAATAGCATGGATATCAGGTACCACCTGATGTTGTGATGAGAATGGCACTTCATCTCTTGTGGTATTTTTTCTTAATATCTGTAACCCCAGTCTCATCATGAGAAAGTAATCAAACCCAAATTTAGGGACATTCTGCAAAATACATGAGCAAGACTTTCAAGGTCTTGGAAAACATGAGAAGACTGAGAAATTGTCCCAGATCAAAGGAGACTAAGGAGATGGGATTAATTAATGCAGTGCAGTATCGTGGACTCGATCCTGGAGTAGTAAAAAGGACATTAATGGGAAAACTGGTGAAATCCAAATAAAGTTTGGAGTTTAGTTAATGGTAACATAGTAAAGTTGGCTTTTTAGTTTTGACAGATGTACTACAGTAATATAAGATGGTAACATCAGTGAAGTCTGAAACAGAGGTGTATAGACACTCTATACTGTAAATTTAAGATCATTCCAAAATAAAAAGTTTATTTTAAAAAGTTCAGAATAGCACGTGGAATATAATTTTATTTCTGGAAAAATGGGTACATCAATCCAGATATGCTTATATGCATTGATAGTAGTTTAGTAAAATGTTTACTAAAATATTAACAGTAATGCAGTTTGGGGACATTCATTTTTATTTGTGTAGTATTAGATTTAACTAGCAAGTGTTTTTTATTTAAAAAGAACTATTAAAAACAAATAGCAATAAAAGCTACTTTATTTCCAGCTACCTTTCCTAAAATTATTTCTCTAATAATTTTCCAGTCAGGAGTTTTATATGTGTTTATCAAATGCAATGGGAAAAAATGAGATGTCAAAAAATGGAAGAAAGATTTGTTTACATGTCATAAAAGAATATTTGCTGACAGAAAAGTTTCAAATTAATCAAGTGAAAAAAGCTGATTACAAGTAGTGCAGAAAGTATAGTAGTCCCCAGTTCATCAAGTTTCAGTTATCTGGGGTCAACCTTGGTTCAAAAATACTAAGTGGAAAAGTCCAGAAATAAGCAATTCATAAGTTGCAAATTACACACCATTCTGAGCAGTGTGATGAGAACTCACAGTCCTGCTGCGTCCCACCTGGGGTGTGAATCATCCCTGTGTCCATCGTATCCATGCTGTGTCTGCCACCTGCCCATGAGTCACTTAGAGCAAACAGGCGTGGTACAGTGTGTGTGTGTATATGTATATATATATATATATATATATATATATATGGTTTAGAGCCAACTGTGGTTTCAGGCATCTACTGGGGGTATTGAAGTATATTCCCTGTGGATGAGGAGGGAGTACTGTACCCTTTTGTACTTTTCTGTACTCTAAATTTTCTCTAGTGAGTGGGTATTTATAACAAAAATTGCATTAATATTTTCATGGAAGCAGCAGACTTCAGAGCTATAATTGGAACTTGAGTTCAGATACTCAGTTAAAACCTTTTAGAGTTTTTCTGGATAGCAAATTGCTTGTAATTCGTTTATATTTTAAAATTTAGATGCAGCCATATCCTCTACAAAATAGCATAATTGTTATTCGGCATAATAGTCATCATGTATTTATTTAGCATATATTTTGAAAGATAAAATTATATGCAAGTTATGCTCGTTCCCAAGGATGTGAGTAGCTGTAGTCTTCATTTCACCGAATTTAAAAATCCTTTTGAAGCCGGGCTCGGTGGCTCAGCCTGTAATCCCGCGCCTTGGGAGGCTGAGGTGAGTGGATTGCCTGAGCCTACGGGTTCGAGACCCACCTGGGCAACTTGGCGAGACCTCATCTCTACAGTAAATCAGAAAAATAAGCAGGGCGTAGTAGCGCGTGCCTGTCGTTCCAGCTACTTGGAAGGCTAAGGTGGAAGGATTGCTGGAGCCCCAGCAAGTCGAGGCTGTGGTGGCCGGGAGCGGCCACTGCACTCCAGTCTGGGCGACAGAGTGAGACTCCAACTCAAAAAAAAAAAAAACCTTTTGAAAAGTAAATAAGAAATTAATTTTTTTAATCAGAGTTATATGCTCTGTATTTACCCTGAGAATAAAAAAGCATTCAGTTCTTTTCTAAACACAAACTGGCTCAGATCTAGTGTTTTAAGAAACATTAAAAAAAAGATACATTTCTATCATAATAGTATAATATCTACTTTTGCTGAGTCCCTAATCTATGCCAAGTACTTTATTTACAGCTTCTCATTAAAGCCTCAAAACAGTGCTGTATGGTGTACATGGTATTAACTTGATTTTATAAATGTGGAAAGGCTCAAAAACTAGTAATTTTATATTTAATTATTTGTAAATTCAGACATTTTTAAAACTCTAACACCCAGCATTAAGTATGTTTTATGTACAAACAGTTGCACATATATCACCCTAAGTTCATACTTGGTTTACAAGCTAATGTAAAAATTACTATAAAGGGAACAACAATTATGATACAATTTTAGGCAAATATTTTTAGGTTTCTGAATTTATTGCCTTTTAGGAAAGTTTTAAAACATCAGACAGAGCATTCTTTTTGCATACTTTATCTTTCTCATCTTGATTAAGTTTCTAATTTATATTGTAGAGTAATTGCACTTAGTGTCGAACTTTAGTAATCATACGCTTGGACTTTCTATTTCAGGCAGAAAACGTAACTGTAACAAAGGATTTTAGAAGAGTGGAAAATGCTTATCACATGGAAGCAGAGGTATGTGATGATCTATACAAATAATTGGAAACAGCATGACTTTGTGGGGACAAATTGTTTATTTTTATTCTTAAACAGGAGAAATGCTCCTCATATTGATAAAGAAATTTTTTTTCCTCAAAATCATATTTGGTGTTCTATCTTTGTGTCAACTTTTAAAAATAAATTTCATGAGACCTATTTAAGAGAAATTATTTTAAATGAAATAAAAACAGCAAGAGGGACTCAGCAGTTAATTGCCACATGAATAAAATGTTAGTAATATTGTCATGTAGTGAGCAGGAAACATTATAGGGGAGAAATTTCTTTTCAGATAAAAAGCAAATGGATAAAGTCACAACATAACGGACCGAAATGCTTTTCAACATTCTTTTGCTTCACAGTGCAATTTTATTGTGTTGTGGTACGTAGTATTTAAAACAAAAACTGTTAAGCCTTTGCACAAATTAAAAAGAATGGAACTATTTCCAGTACACTCTATGAATAGCATTTATTTCCTACACCTGTAATCCTAGCATTTTGGGAAGCTGAGGTGGGATGGTCGCTCAAGGCTAGGAGTTCAAGACCAGCCTGGGCAACATAGCAAGACCTTGTCTCTACAAAATAAATTAGCGAGGCATGGTGGCATTCACCTATAATCCAAACTCCTCAGGAGGCTGAGGCAGGAGGATTGCTTGAGAACAGGAGTTCAAGGTTTTAGTAACCTGTGATTGCACCAAACACTCCAACCTAGGGGACAGACTGAGATCTTGTGTTTTGAAAATAAAGGCTGGTGGCAGTGGCTTACTTGTAATCCCAGCACTTTGGGGGCCAAGGTGAGAGGATCGCTTGAGCCCAGGGGTCGGAGACCAGCCTGGGCAACATAGCAAGACCTCACTGCTACAAAAATTCAAAAAATTAGCGGGTATGGTGGTATGAACCTGTAGTCCCAGCTACTCTGGAGGCTGAGGCAGAAGGATCCCCTGAGCCCTGGAGACTGAGGCTGCTGTGAGCTCTGATTGTACCCCTGCACTCCAGCCTGGGTGACAGAGTGAGACCTCAACTCAAAAACAGATAGAATATTTGATTACTAGGATATTACGAACAGAGTTGTGAATTTCAGTTGTGGTTGTGTTATAGGACTGCTATCCATCTCTGATCTCAAACATTTTGGGGTATTTGTTTAGTCCATGCTGGCTTCTTGTCACAGAAGGCAAAGAAGAGTGGAGTTATAGTGAATCTTGTTTATGAAGCGAGGGAATTTTTGTCTTCAGAGGTAGAATGTACCTCCAGAAATCACTTGGTCCTATCTTCAGGAGATAATATATTATTTATTTTAAGGACATGACTTTGAATTCAAATCACTTGGACCCAAACTTCTCAAATGTCATAGCAGGAATTCAAATAAAAAATTAGAAACCTGGCTTCTTTTCTCTCTCTCTCTCTCTCTCTCTCTCTCTCTCTCTCTCTCTCTCTCTCTTTGAATTGGAGTCTCACTCTGTCCCCTAAGCTGGAGTACAGTGGCATGATCCACTACAGCCTCGACCTGCTGGGCTCAGAGGATCCTACCGCTTCAGCTTTCCAAGTAGTTGGGACTACAAGCGTGCGCAACTGTGCCCAGCTAATTTTTTGATTTATTACAGAGACCAGGACTTGCCAAGTTGCCCAGGCTGGTCTCAGATTCCAGGGCTCAAGCAACATTAGAGCTGCTGGTTTTGAAACGTAACTAAATGAGGATTTGGCCGAACTCTGCTCCTCTTGCTTTTGCTTTTCAAATGTTTTATATTTGAATTTCTTAAAAGGTGATCTGGTTATATTCGATATAGGGCTCCCCGGTAGCCAGGACTCCTGTCTCATGCAGTCGGACACGTGATTGCCTTAGATCAGCACTAGCCGCCAGGGGAGTCTGAGATGTTAGGATTGCAAGATGCAAAACCAGCCTTTGTACGTGTGGCTTTCTGACTGTGAATGTAGAAAACACTTAAAGCTGACATCTAACATGCAACCGTATCCTCAAGGACTGTTAAATGTGTGGAATCATATTAGATGGTGAGTAGATTCCTGCAACTCAAGAGCAAAACAAACAAACAACCTGATAAAAAATGGGCAAAGGACTTGAATAGACATTTATCCAAAGAAGACTTACAGATGGGCAACAGGTATATGAAAAGTGTTCTGCATTACTCATTATCGCAAAAATACAATCAAAGCCAACTGATCAACAAGGGTATCTGCATAGTGAACACTTGAATACCTAACCCTGAATTGTACCCCACATCTTTAAAATTAAAAATTTAAAAATTAATAAATAGGGAAAAAAAACCACAGTGAGCTATAACCTCACACCTGTTAGGTTGGCTGCTGTCAAAAAACAAAAGACAGTGTTGGTGAGGATGGAGAAATTAGAGCTCTTGTACTCTGTCAGTGGGAATGTAAGATGATATAACCGTGATGAAAAACAGTGTAGAGTTTCCTCAAAAAATTAAAAATAGAACTGTCATCCTGCTTCTGGCTATCTATCCATAAGAATCCGCATCAGGATCTGGAAGGACCATCTGTGCTGTCACACTCACTGCAGCGTCATTCACAATAGCCAAGATGTGGAAACCATCCCCAAGTCCACTGACAGATTAATGAAGAAAGAAAATATGGTCTATACGTACAGTGAGGTATTCCTCAGCCTTAAAAAGAAGGACGTCCTCTCATTTGAAACAACATGGGATCCCTGGAAGACATCGTGTGTACAACTTAAGGCAGTCACAGAAAAATGAATACCATGTTTAGAGAAATATCTAAAATAATTGAACTTAGAGAAGCAGAAAATAGAACAGTGGTTGCCAGGGAAGGGGGAAGTAGGGATTTCTTGTTCAGTAGGTCTAAAGTTCTATTTATCCAGAGGAATAGCCTGTAGGTATCTGCTGTATGACATACTGCCTGTAGTTAACGTGGTGTTGCACACTTACAAATGTGTTGAGGGCAGATCTCACGTCGAGAGTTCTTATCACACAGAAACGCAAAAGACACAAGCTTTTAGAGGTGACAGATGCATTGCCTTGATTGTGCTAATAGTGTGGTGTGGGCTTATGTCCCGATTTATCAAATTTTATACACTAAAGGAGCAAATTTTATATACTAAATGAGCAGTTTTCATGCATCAGTAATACCTCAATAAGGGTTTAAATAGATTTTTTTTTAAAAGTAGATGGTAGAACATTACTTTTAGCATAATATCTGAAATTTGCATCCCGAAAGTCACCTTAGAGATTCTTTATCTAACCTCCCACCTACACTGCTATTTCCCATTGTTTTAAAGATAAGTATATTGAAGGGAACTGGTGCTGTGGCTCACGCTTATAATCCCAGCACTTTGGGAGACCAAAGTGAGAGGATTGCCTGAGACCACGGGTTCGAGACCAGCCTGGGCAACGTGGTGAGACTGCTACTCTACAATAAGTCAAAAAAGTAGCTGGACGTGGTGGCACATGCCTGTATTCCAGCTACTTGGAAGGTGAGGCGGAAGGATCATTGGAGCCCATTAGGTCAACTCTGGGGTGGTCCTGAGTGTGCCACTGTACTCCAGCCTGGGGAACAGAGTGAGACTCTAACTCAAAAAAAAAAAAAAAAGTATATTGAAGATTAGAAAGTTTTTAAGTGACTTCTTTAAGGTGAGTGAGTGACCTTATGTATGGGAAGGGAGGTTGGATTAAAATCATGGCTTTGCAATTCCTATGTTGGTGCTCTGTCCATTTGTCCTGCTATTTCCATTTCATTATCTTACCGTTGAGGAGAATTTGTAAAACCGAGGATATAATAGACATTCAGTCATGTGTATCAAATTGAACAGGCAGCATAACCACTCATGGTCTTCTCTTTCCTCTTCCCTCTTCTTTTCCTTGCACACCTGCCATGTGTTAAGTGTTTCCATTCAGTCTTTTTTTAACTATTCATTTTCATTAGGAAATATTTTGCACTTGCATAGGCATGAATATGTAAGACCCATTCCATCTTCAGGTGTGTGATGAATATAGAATTTTCTAATATTAAACCACAATTGACTTGCTGGTACCCATGCATTCTTCGTGCCTCTCTCCAAGAATAAGCAAAATAAGGCAAATATGATACCTCTTCCTTAAAATATATTCTTGAAGTTCACTGTCATATCGATGATACTTTTTCTCCCCCAGGGTAAGAATCCTCAGTTTGTCCAGTCATTTCTTTAACATGACAACTCTTTAATTAGCCAATTTCCTCCTCAACCATCTACAACTACAGTGTCCTACTTATAATTTGGCTAGTCCATGCTAGAGAAAGATGATTATTTTCCTTATTCAGGAATACTTATTTCTAATAACACTCGTAAGATTTAATTAACTTTTTGGCATTTGCATCACTCTGTTCCCTCTACTCAGATTATAGTCACAGTAATTACAACCAACAAAAGTATCTTTTAAATCTTATATCTTTGTTCTTATACTGTTATTGCCATTTTGAAATGAACTGTGGGATAGTACATTTATTTTCTGTAAAATTTTATCTTACTAGAATTGATTTATATTTTCAATCTACAAAGTAGCAGAGAAATAAAGCTCATAATAAGGAGAGAAATCAAGCCAACCCAGAACTGACACAAATGTTAGAATTAAAAGGCATGTCATTAAAAGTTATTATAACTGTATTTCATTTGCTCAGAGATATGGAAGATATAAAAAGATCCAAATTGAACTTGAAGAGATCAAAACTATGATATCTGAATAGGTAAAAAATACATTGAAGAGGGCTCACAGCAATTTAGACATTACACAAGACAAGCCTAGTGAACCTGAAACCATAGCAATAAGAACTATTCAAAAGGAAACCTAGAATGAAAAGACATAAAGATGAATCCATGAACAGTGATACAACTTCAAGTAGCCTAATATAACTGGAGTCCCAAAGGAGAGGAGAGTGGGGGACAAGAAAAATATCTGGAGAAATAATAGCCAAAAAATGTACAAACATGATGAGAGTTCTAAACCCACAGA